TCATTAGTAAAAGAAAGAAAAGAGCAAATCAGGAATTTTAATTATTCTGGCAAGGCCAAAACCAATATTATTCTTAATGCAGTCATTCATCATGGTCTCACTGACTTGAGACAAATCCTTCACGAGTCCTTTCTTACGGTGTTTGACAAGGGTCATAGAGATGTAGAGGACGGAAACAGACCCTTAGGTCCAACCCATCCATGCCAACCAGATATCCTAATAAATCTAGTCCCATTTGCCAGCATTTGGCCCATATCCCTTTAAACCCTTCCTGTTCATGTACCCATCCAGATGCCTTTTAAACATTGTAATTGTACCAGCCTCCTCCAGCACCTCTTTCCACACACACATCACCTTTTGCAGTGAAAATATTGCCTCTTTCCCCTCTCACCTTTAAACATATGCCTTCTAGTTCCTTTCCTTTATTCATTAACAGGATGTGGACATCACTGGCTAGGCAGCATTTATTGACCATCCCTAATTGCCCAGAGGGCAGTTCAGAGTCAACCACATTGCTGTGGGTCTGGAGTCACACGTTGGCCTGACCAGGTAAGGATGGCAGTTTCCTTCCCTAAAGGACATTAGTGAACCAGATAGGTTTTTCCAACCACCGACAATGGATTCATGTTCATCATTGGATCTTAATTCCAGATATTTTACTGAATTCAAATTCCACCATCTGCCGTGGCAGGATTCGAACCTGGGTCCTCAGTATGTAATCTGGGTCTCTGGATTAACAGTCCAGTGATAATACCACTAGGCCATTTTTGGATTCTTCCCCCTACCCTGCCCCAGGGAAAAGACCTTGTCTATTTAGTGACAACTATTTAGTACCAAACTGAAAGCAAGAAATCTTTTTCCCCAGCAACTTACATTTAGTGATTCTCGGGATGTGGAATCAGTGGTGGGGCCACAATTATTGCCAATTGAACGTATATATTAGGAGCAGTAGGCCATTCTGCCCATCAAGACTGCTCTATCATATAATCATAGTTGAATCTGGTTGTGTTCTGAATTCGACTTTCCTATCAACCCTCGATCCAAACAGAAATATTCAAAGGTCCCACGTCTTCCATCTTCTGAGACAGAGAGTTCTAAATGACCCATTGAAGAGAAAAACAAATTCTCCTCCTCTCAGTTCGAAAAGAACTGCCCCCAATTCTAAAACTGTTCCTCCTCATTCTGGACTCAACCACAAGAGGAAACTTCCTTCCCACATTCACTTTGCCAAGACCACTCAGGATCTTGTAAATTCAATCAAACCATCTCTCATTCTGCTAAACTCTGGCGAAAACAAGCCTAGCCTGTCCAAGCTTTCCTCATAAGACAAGCCATCGTTCTAGGGGTTAAATAGTAAACCTCCTCTCAACTACCACTAGTGCATTTAAATTATTCTTTAAATACAGAGACCACACCTGCACACAGTATTTGAGCTGTGATCTCACCAATGCCCTGTATTACTGAAGCATAAGGATTGCATTCCATTAGACTTTTTAATAACTTGCTTTTAGTCACCTATCAAAAGTTCAAGGTGATGTTGAGCCATCTCCTGATAGTGCTGCAGTTCCTACGATGACGTTAGTGTCAAAATGTTGTTATGCAGAAACATCCAAGATTCTGGCTAAGAGATGTTGGGAAGATGGTAATCTAACTCCAAGGTAGAATTGCCTGTGACTTGGTCAAGAGCCCAGTCTCAGTGGTGATCGATGCAGACACGATGGGCCGAATGGCCTTCTTCTGCACTGTAGCAATTCTGTCACTCTGTGATCACACTGCTACCTCTCCTTCATGGTGCTGTAAGGTGTGATGGAGCAAAGGATGTTATTGTTAAAGTGACCTTTGTGATTTGCTTCTGTGCATCCTGTAGGCCATACACTGTATTCACTGTATGCTGGCGATGGGAGAGTAGGTATGGACTTGGTGATAGGGCATCAACTGAGCAAACAATTCTCCATCACTGAGGCACTAGTCAGGGATCAGATGGAATGCTCTCTATTCATTGTGTTCATTGGTCAGTGCATTGTCATTGGTCGATGCATTGTCATTGGTCAGTGCATTGAGTATAGGAGTTGGGACGTCATGTTGCAGCCCTGCAGGACATTGGTTAGGCAACTTTTAGAATACTGCATGCCATTCTGGTCTCCCTGCTACAGGAAAGATGTTGTTAAACTTGTAAGAGTTCAGAAAAGATTTGCAAGAATGTTACTGGGACTGGAGGGTTTGAGCTATAGAGTGAGGCTGAATAAGCTAGGGCAAATTTTCTGCTCTGGAGCATTGGAGTTGTGGGGTGAACTTATAGAGGTTTTTAAAATCATGAGGGGCATGGATGGGTTGATTAGCCAAGGTCTTTTTCCCAGGGTAGGGGAGTCCAAAACTAGAGGGCATAGGTTTAAGGTGAGAGGGGAAAGATTTAAAGGGACCTGAGGGGCAACTTTACCACGTAGCGGATGGTGAGTGTGTGGAACGAGCTGCCAGAGGAAGTGTTGGAGGGTGGTACAATATGACATTTAAAAGGCATCTGGATGGGTACAAGAATTAGAAGGATTTAGCAGGAAATAGGCCAAATGCTGGCAAATGATCAGTTTAGAAAATCTGTTTGGTGCGGACGAGTTGGACCGAAGGGTCTGTTTCCGTACTGTATGACTCTACAACTCTATAACTACTTAAGTGCAAGGTGGGTTCATTGGCACTCTACAGATTTATGGATTTAGCACTAAGTTCAATAACTTTGATCATAACTTCTGACTGTTTCATTTATGTTTTTCTGGTGTGATCTTTCTCTCATGTCTTTTTTACTTCCTTCACTTTGTATTCATATGACTGCTATGTTGCCATTCACACCTCATCAGGACACACATTTTGTTCCCTCACTATACCCACAACCTAATAAATATCCTTCTTGAAAACATTCACTGTTTTGGCCACAGCCTGTTCTTTTATTCATTCATTGGATGTTGGTGTCACTGGCTAAGCCAGCATTTATTACCCATCTCTAATTGCCCAGAGGGCAGTTAAGAATCAACCACGTTGGCTGTTGGTCTGGAGTCACATGTAGATCACACCAGGCAAACCATGGCAGATTTCCTTCCCTAAAGGACCCTAAAGTGAACCAGAGATAGTAGGAACTGCAGATGCTGGAGAATCTGAGATAACAAGGTGTAGAGCTGGATGAACACTGCAGGCCAAGCAGCCGTGTTCATCCAGCTCTACACCTTGTTATCTCTAAAGTGAACCAGATGGGTTTTGCCTGACCATCAGCAATGGTTTCATGGTCACCATTAGACTCTTACTTTCAGATTATTATTGATTTCAAATTCCAGCATCTATGATGTCACGCACCACCACACACACACCTACCCATGCACAGCACCCACACACCCCAGCATGCACACACACACACACCCCCACTATTTTACATATAGCTGCATTAATGATAGTGCAACACAACTGTGTTAGTGAATTGTCCCAAAGTCTTACAGTCCTTGGACTGCACACAAGGTCTAAACACATTTGAAGCAAGTGTGAAAGACAAGGGAACACCCTCTCCATGTTCTCCAAAGATATCTGTAAATGTAATTTGTTGGAGGGCATCTTGATCTTCCAGGAATTCCTACATAATGTTATTAAATGAACCCATCCTTTTCCTTGCTACTCAGTTGCTCATAATGAAGCAGAAGGGAAAATTATAAAACCAAATGCCAATATTTGAATGTTGCAACATGTCTTTGTATGGAATGTCTGCAAATAATCTTAGGTCAAATCTATTGCTTACATTAAAGGGAGAATAGGATGAGGGGAAAAGGAGTGGTGTGGAGGAGAGAGAGCATGTGCCACTCAGCTCTGGACCTCATTAAAGCCTTGGTCCAAAAATGAAGTAAAAAGCTGAATTCTCAAAGTGAGGTGAGAGGCAGAGTTTGACCAACTGCAGCGTGCAGGAGTCCCAGAAAAAACTGAAGTCAGTGGGGATTGAGGGTAAACTCTCCTGTATTTGGGGAAGTTCACTAACGTGGTTCACTGATGTTCTTTTGGGAAGGAAATCAGTTGACCTTACCTAATCAGGCCTATGAGACTCTAGACCCAATGTGGTTGACTCTTAACAGCCTTCTGGGCAATTATGGATGGACAATAAATGCTGGCCAAGGCAGCAATGACCATGTCCCATGAGCGAATATGAAAAAGAGGCCCACTGAAAACTACATCTCAAAATATAAGCTGGCCATCAGGACTGGAAATGTGCTCACCCACAGAAAGTAAAGGGAGCCTGATTGTGAAAATGGTTCTGACTTCTAGTTGAACATAGCAGGTGGGGATCCTGACTGCTCCATCCACCGGCCACCTGACATCAAAAGCGGAAAACACCAAGACGTTTTGAATGAAAACGCGAGCATGAAGGACCAAATGTAAAACCATGAGCAGGAGACTGCATTACATCCAGCTCCTCAATCCTAATTAGCCCTGCCTTCTTCTAACCCACTTCGCCTAAAGACTCTGTGTATTCTCAACAGCCCCATTCCCCACACCCAACCTGCCGCCACCATTTGCAATGACTGGGAGGTGAAGTGGTGTCTCACTGAAAGATTGCAAGATGGGAAAGAGAGAAAAGAAACTCTGAAGATGAGGATTCAAGTGAAATGCTGGCTCAACCGTGTGCGGTTGCTAATATAATACCAAACTGGAAAGGAGATCTGTCCTAAACTCTGTGCAAGATTCCTTTTGCATTCCAGCATATGACACATTGACATTTGTTACATTTACTTATTTCTGTGCTTGTGCATTAGGAGTTCAGAACAAGTATTTTAAGTTCACATTTAAATATGTTCTGCTAAATGTTTAAACTTTGTTCTCTTACAATCTTCTGACATTCAATATATTTAAAAAGCAAAGATAAAAGCAATGTTTTCAAATTATATTTGTAACGTATGGCACCCCTCCCTTACTAAGTATCTAAAGTTGCGGGTTACGTTCACATATTTCTTGCTAACACCTTTCTCTTTGTCCAGGCAGGGCAGGACAGCTCAGACACGCAGTCTGCACTCAACTCCAACCTGCTGTCAAAGCGAAAAGAAATAGCGAAGCAGATCCTGTCAGATATGGCCACAGAGCGAATGCCGAGGAGTGAAACTGTAGACAAGAGGCAATCAGTGAAACTTGAACTAAGGAGGAACCCTGCAGGCAGTCCCACCCATCAGAGTGGTCCCAGGACTGAGGAGAAGACTCCTGTAGTATGTACCCTTTGTGGATGGTGAATTGTTGGGAGGGCTAGAAAGAGTTTCAAACTCCTAAGGTCTTCCATTTGTACTCAAAATGCAAATTCAAAGAGAGACCTGAGGCATTGTTAACGTAAATCATCCGATAGCAGACATTTTTTATAGAGATGCTGTTTCCATTTACAGAATTTCAGTTATTTCTTTAATCTTTCACCCCAGTAGGCTACTCTATAATGCAAGTTATGCTTCTGTTCATTTCTTATATAACAGATAAGGGGAGGTGATGGCCTAGTGGTATTATTGCTAGATTCAGGAAACTCGGGTAATGGGCTGGCGGCCAGGGTTCAAATCCTGCCATGGCAAATGATGGAATTTGAATTCAATAAATAACTGGAATTAAGGGTCTAATGAATGTGGAACAGTTGTCAGGGGAAAAAACTATCTGGTTCACTAATGTCCTTTAGGGAAGGAAGTCTGCCATCCTCACCTGGTCTGTCCCACATGTGACTCCAGACTTACAGCAATATAGTTGGTTCTTAACTGCCTCCTGGGCAATTAGGGCTGGTCAATAAATGCTGACCTAGCCAGCAATGCCCACGTACTGTGAACGAATTTAAAAATAACACTGATTTACATGGGCTAACACGGTGTAGAGCTGGATGAACACAGCAGGCCGAGGAGCAGGAAGGCTGACGTTTCGGGTCTGGACCCTTCTTCAGAAAATCTGAAAATTTCCTATGATGCTGCTTGGCCTGCTGTGTTCATCCAGCTCCACACCTTGTATCTCAGATTCTCCAGCATCTGCAGTTCCTACTATCTCTGATTTATTTGGACTGCTCTGCTGGCCCACAATTGCTCCTGGGACTGGGGAAAGCAGAAGATTGTGTAAAGGAAAAAGAAAGAAATTTGCAGTTGTACAGCTCCCCAGTGCACCACAAATCCCTGGGACAAATGAAGTACTTTAGTTTGAAGGTGATCACTGTTTTAATGTTGGAAATTCTGCAGACAAACTGGTACAATCAGTAACAAAATAGCAGACCCCAGTCATTAATTCTGATATTGGCTGAGGTCCACAGCACTGGGGAGAATTCCTCTCTCTCTTCTTAGAATCAAGCTCTCGAGTGGAAGCAGCAACATGATCAAGGGGTTTGAATGATCCCTGGTAACATTCTTTACAAACCTCAAATGTCTTGTTGCCTTGAGTAAAAGTTCCAGACTTGTTTAGATTATTTGTAATGTCCACAGATTTCCATTTTCATTACTCGGTCTACAGCCGTGCTTTTAGAGTTTACTGATTATGAGTTCTCTTGCTCTGTTGTTGCCAGTTTGTTAGACACTAATTGCTGCTGAAGGTCTGGCTGGTTTTCTCAGTGGGAGCTGACAGCAAAAGGAAGAATAGCATTCCGAAATGCCCCCCTAGGACTGTCCTGGAATCTCCAGGAATTAGACTTCCACTGCGGCTCAGTAAAAGGTTTACCTTCATCCATCACCCAAGAGGGCAGAGCAGGCCACAGTTTAGTGCCTCATCAGAAAGGCAGCACGCCAACAGTGCAGCACTCAGGACTGTAGTTGCCTACAATAGACTGAAGATGGATTAATATTTCCCAGAGATCCCCGGGGATCATCGATTCTGGTTAGTTATCTGTCTGGGGTAGCTTTAGCTACACACTTAACCACAGGCTGATGACGAGCCCTCTTGCAGTTGGCAGAAACCATGTCTTGTGATTATTAACCAGCAAACAAGCCCAGGGAACTAACTAAAAGTGATGCCAACCACCCCAGCAAACCGAGGCGTATAAATAACAAGCAGGACAGAACACCAACGCTTCACCGGAGGCACACTGACAGTGTTACCTAACAGGGTGACGAAACGTTTGCAACCAAACACACCAGCTCAGCGAGCATATCTACAACCTCATCCACAACCCGAGCTACAAATCTTCTCAAAAACTTTAAATTATGGATTCCAGGATCATGACAGTTGAAAGTTGGGTCATGACTGAAATTAATTCCTGTTCTATGAGCATTGCTGGCTAGGCCAGCATTTATTACCCATTGGGCAGTTAAGAAGGAGCCATGTTGGTGTGCAATCACATGAAGACCAGACCAGGTGAGGATGGCACATTTCCTTCTCTGAAGGACATAAATGAGCCCGTTTATCCTAATAATTGACCATGGTTTCATGGCCATCATTAGACTCTTAATTCCAGATTTCCTTAGAATTACAATTATTTGAATTCTACAGCGAGATTAGAACCCTGGTCTCCAGAACCTTACTGGGATCTCTAGATTAAGTCTAGGGACACTACCTCCTGGCCATCTCCTCCCCTGGCACCAACTAAGTAGAAGTGTTGAGATGTTAGTCTGTGCTGTTTGGCTTCTTGGAACAGCAAGCCATGTTGCAGAAAGGCCTCAAGCAACTTGCAGACCTGGGATTAGGGAAACATTGAGCCCATCATTTCCCACACAAAACGTCCTGCTTTTTGCCTCCATCATTTTGGTGAGTCAGCAAAGGATTGCCAACTCTGGCTAGACACAGCCCTGGAGGTTTCATCACATGACCTTCTACCCCACCTGCCCCACCCCTAATCTACTGCCATTTGTTGCCCAACATGCCCATCCTCACAGCACCTCCCTGCATCATCCAGTTGGTAACAGACCCGATTCCTCATTATCCAATTGAACAATTCTTTTTCTGGTAAATGATTCTCCCCCAGTGTCAAGTGTTCTTCTCTTGAGTTGGTCATAGCCAGTGCCTTTAAGAAAATAAAGACTTGCATATTTATAGCGTTTTTTTTTCCACATCCAATGACACTTTACACCCATGAAAGTTTTTTTGAAATGTAGTTCTGATCATAATGCAGGAATTGGCAACAGCTCATGCACAGCACGCTCCCACAAAATTATGACTAGATAATCGATTTCTAGTGATTTTGATTGAGGGATGAAGATTGGCTTGGACTTTGGGGAGAACTCCCTTGCTGTTCCTCAAAATTAGTGCCACTGGATCTTTTACATCCTTGTCGTTACATCTCATCCACATGTCTGCACCTCCATCAGTGCGGGGATGTCTCAGAAGTCTACATTGGGGTTTTAGCCTTGGATTTTGTGTCAAGAACCGAAGTGGATCTTGAACCTGGGAGCAAGTGCATTCACAACCGAGCTGCAGTATAAGACAAGTCTAATTCCTGGAGATTCAGGACAGTCCTAGGGGGGTAGTATTCTTCCTTTTACTGTCAGCTCCCACTGAGAAAACCAACCGTACCTTCATCAGCAATTAGTGTCTAACAAACTAGAAACGACAGGGCAAGTGGACTCACAACCAGAAAACTCAAAAAGACGCAACTTTAGAGCAAGTACAGAAAATGGAAATCCGTGGACATTACAAATAATCGAAACAAGTCTGGAACTTTTACTCAAGGCTGCAAGACATTTGAGACTTTTAAAGAATGTTACCAAGGATCATTCAAACCCCTTGATCATGCTGTTGCTTCCACTCTATTAATTTCTGTTTAACCACAGAATGCATTGTATTGGAATGATTGAAAGACTTGCCCAGCAACTGACGTGACCATATAATATATTATGTCCCTGCATTTAAAGCTGTCAAGATACAGCCTTCTGGGTATAATTGGGCCTGCGCACGCAGGCTATGTGTGGAATGTGTGTTATGCAATGTCAAAGGCAGCCTTGCAGACTTAAGTGATGTTCAACTGGCCACATCTGGCTAATGCTTTTCGATTCACAGCTTTCTTTAGACTATTGCTTTACCAAATTGAGCCTGTTTAAACACAAGGGCCCATTAACCACACAATTATTCCGTGAATCGAATGGAAAGTTAAACAAAATATGAAAAGGAGAAGGAGGCAACGTCTGATTCATCTCCCAGTTTCATCTTATAAGATGCATCAGGGGTTTTGCGAGGGACAGCGAATCTGAAATAAAATCTTGCCTTTTGTCTGTTCATCCGTCTCACCTGGTGCTCAGAAGAATCCCCACTCTCTTCGAAATTCTAGTGGAAACATTACCCTCCTGACAGATTAATGAGTTCAACTCCAAAATTGCTGGATCATTATTTACGAGAGTGTATTAGGGACAGAGGGGGAATCGTTAGCCACAAGGAGTCTGCCCACAGGATTAGTGGTTAAATGACTGCATGGGTTTTAGAGCAGCGTGTCCCAAGCTTTGCCCTACTGTAACCAGGCTTGAAAGTTGTCCAAAACCCCCCAAGTGAGAATTGTTGGGTGTGGGGGAAGATCTATGTCAGTGGGGATCTCTCAGTTCACAGATCTAACAGTCAGTAGGAGCATCATGGTGACTCCACTTGGGGTCCTGATGCCCACTTTGGGGTCCTGATGCCCACTTTGGGAAGCTCTCTGCTGTCCTACATTTCGAATGGACAGTGGGCCAGCAGAGAGGGGCCGACTGACCCAGAGGGCTTGCATCCAAAATTCCTGGTGATCTAGTTGGGGGTGGGGCATGGGGAGATGGGAGGGAGAAAAGGTGTGTCCAAGTCATCTGGCAAAGTAGTTTTCTTTTTGCTTGCCCTCTGGCCTGTCTGGGAGTTCCTTCTTTAGTTATGTCTTTGGTGGCGTAAATACAAAACCAATTCAATCCGGTTCCTTTTTCCTAGACTTATTTTCAGTTCATTTGCTACAGTACAACAACCAATGGAATAAATGCTTTTCATAGAAGGAACAGCAGATGCACAAACCTGTTGGGTGTAGGGGAATTTTCACTTCCTTTAGCTGATGAAAATGGGTTGGTAACAGAGTTTAAATGTTGGGTGGAGGGGAGCGGTTCCTGATCTGTCCTACACTAAATCCATCTCCACACCACCACCACCCCCTCCCCATTTGCAGCATTTCGCTGGGCTCCCAGGGATACCTGCCAGAATCAAACTGTCCAAATAGAGCCTGCTGTAATCATCCTGCCCAGAGAGTCAATCTGGCAGAGGAGCAGAGGCCAAAATCTCAAATCGTATTTTGTTTTGAGCACAACAGGGATTCTGCCAAATGCCCGCAGACTGCTATCAGGGCTCTACCTGAGGCCCTCTCCCACCCTCAACCCCAGCTCATAAGAATAAGATCCATTCCTCCTCCATACACATCCATGCCAGCCTCCCTGCAGCTGGAACAAGTCTGCGGGCTGCCCAGTATTGTACCAATCCGCAACTGGAATCCAGCTCTGCAGACTGCATTGTAGTGACACCCAGTTTGTTCTCGGGGTCAGGCACATTCTTGCTGAGGCTAACATCTCCTCAAGGTGTATGAGGTCGGAGAAGGATTTTTCTGCCCGTTCAGTGCAACATTTCTGGAATACAAATCCTACTGACCTCACAACCTCCAAATCAGAGAAAACAGGACCATTTTCCTTTCTTTATTCTTTCATATGATGCAGGCATCACTTTCAAGGACAGCATTTGTTGCCCATCCATAATTGCCTTTGAACTGAGCGGCTTACTAGAGCCATTTCTGAGGCTGGTGCAGATCTGGAGACAGATGGAGGCCAGACTCTGTAAGGGAGGCAGATTTCCTTCTGAATTATTAATCCACAGCTCCACAAAACAAGATTGTAAAGCCTCATTAAAATGCATGTATAACTAAACAGATATCTAGACTCTTTGGCACCAGAGTCCCAAGCTCATGAATGAAATTCTAAAATGACTAACCTTTCTTAACAAATTATGATTTCAACTTAAAGTCATACATTGTTCTAAGCGCTTGTCCTTTTTGAGGTATAGTATTCTTGTGTTGAACCTCATGGTTGCAGGTTTAAAACTTCAGCAGTGTGCCTGCGTCTTTCCTCAGCAGTACCCAAAAACAAATTTCTTTGATTTTCAACTTTGGCGCAATCTTAACTCTAAAACACCATCGCATTCAATTATTTTTTGGCAGCAGACTATGCTTCAGCATCCTATTCAGTTTGATAATAGATTTCAATATTTGAATTTGACAAAATAAAATTAGTCCTGTAATTAAACAAAATCAGTTAATGTCTCATTATGTGCCAATGATTTCAGTATTCAGAGTTCCCATTAACCAAATAATTTTAAATTGTTACCTTCCACTTTTGCCACCCAGAGATTAATAAGAACCTTCAACTTCAAGTAAAAGCAAAACAAAAACTGTGGATGCTGGAAATCTGAACTAAAAACAGAAAGTGACGGAGAAACTCAGCAGGTCTGGCAGCATATGTGGAGAGAAACACAGAGTTAATATTTCTAATGTCTGATATGACTCTTCTACAGAACTTATATTTAAGGCTGACATGGATAAATTTTTGATCTGCGGGGAATCGAGGGGTTGGAGAAGGGATTGGAAAGTGGATGTGAGGAATGTCAGATTGGTCACAATCCTGTTGAATCGTGGAACAGGGTCGAGGGGCTGAATGGCCTACTCCTGTTCCTATTACTTATGGTTTTATGGTCTTAAAGCTTCAATTTCCAGTACTTTCTGTAAATCAGTGCCAGACAAAGTGGGGTTCAGAACCCAAAATGGGGTCACGAGGAGAAATGTTTATATTGTGAGCTCCAACATAGCCATGGCTAACCCCAGTATCTCCCTTTTCTAATAAATCCTCTTCTCCTCCCCCATTACTCCCTGAGAGGCTATGATGGTTTTCAAGCCTTCAAATGGGGTCACAGTGGGCAAAAAATTGGGAAGTACTGTTGTGAATAGTTCAGAATTCCACTTTGTACATAGTCTAATCACCATTTTCACCCATATATGTTCAATTTGTTTTTAAACCAAGAGCTTATTAATTAAGTGAGAGAAGTGCACCAGAAGCCCTGATATGTAATATGTATGCTATACACATATATATATATATATATATGTTATTTACACTGAAGGAGCTATTGAAATATTTTCAGCTCTAATTCCATCTGCTGCTGACAATTGGACAAATAATATATGGACACATGTAAACGTACACATTTTTCCAGAATTTGGGACAAAAGTAAGGTTGCAAACAGTATCAGAAAGCGAAGACAAAGTGAAAAGGTGACAGTGGGCTTGGGTTTCAAAAGAATGTCAATTGAAGGACTCAGAGTCTCTAATAGTTCCTTCCCACGAGGCTGTAAAACCAGGCAGCTAAGCCTCCAAGAATAGACCCAGTTAACGACAGAAAGAATGTTTGAAAATGCAAGATTAAAACAAAATCTTACACCTTGCAAACAAAGGACTAACATTGTCTTCCTTTGATTTCCAGGGCATTCTCTCACAAATAAGGATGACGTCCAGACGGTGAAGCCTCTGGTACTGACCTTTGCGGTCGCACTACAGTTTTTAGTGTTAATTAAGCACTGTATAAGCTTCTGCAATATAGGGATCATTTTCATCCTGTACACTCTCTGAACTAAAGCAATCATATTACACCTATATTTTTCTAGAAATGATTACATTTGGAGGTAGTTCTACTGGCTGTTCGCAGTAGAGGATGGTGGGGCGAAGGCAACAGTTGCCGACCTCTCTCGGGGTAAGGAGACATCGGTCCTTCCTCTGTCACAGTGTGGACTGAACTGAAGATAGAGCCTGTGAGAAATTCACTGAGCCTGGGCGCACTCGGATGCCCTTGTAGCCATACTGCTACTTTGGGCGAGAAGTAAAACACGCAGGAAACCCAGATTAATGCAATAGAATCCAAAGTTCTAGGGTCAATTCAATCATCCAGTAGCGGATGCCCTGAAGTGAAAGTTGTACAATTACGCATATCTGCTTTGAAAAACAAAATGAATCAGTATGGGCCTCCTTGAGTAGTAACACCCCACCACCAGTGTTGCAGTATTATTCAGTGTGCTGAATAAGCAACCAGTATGTATATAGCTGTTCTTTGTACTTAAGTGAAAGTTTTCTTCCAGACAAATGGTTTTGAAAATATTTCTTATTTATAAAAAGCAACAGGAGAGACAAGGTAAACCAAAACATGCCAAAGTACCACAATCACTATCTCGCTGTATACAAATTGAAGGAAGTTAGAATGGCCTCCAAAGTTTAAAGATCAAAGGAATCTTAAAGGGATCAGAATGCTCAGTCTACTGTTCATCAAATCCTTAATATTTATCGCTATTAGCATGTCAAAGGGCATTCTAACTTCTGTTTCTTTTATGTTGTTTATTCAGTGAGCAGAAAGAAGCAAAAAAGTGCTAATTGCGATTTAAAGTTTAGTCTTCCTTGTCTGTGAGGTAATTTGAAATGATTGACCTTTGACTTTCTCCCCTCAGACATTCCATAGCAAGACCAGCTAGATGAATCGCAGTCGTCTTTTCCAGCTTTTTACATTCCTATACCCCTTTAACAAATGCTTCCAACATCCCTTCACTGTCCCTCCCCAGGAGAAGGGTACAGGGGGAGCACATCATGGCCCTTGGCCACAGTCAACTACAAATGCTAAAGAGCATATCATGAGAGCACAACTCCCTGACGTTGTGGAAGCAGCTATTATCAACAGGAGCCACATTACGCAGACAGCCTGTCTACTTCAGTGCTCAGCATCCACTAGAGTTAAAAACCAAGTACCTTACAGCTCGGATAAACCCTTTGTAAAATTTGAATCTCTTTTCTCCTCCTGCTATAATTGACCAGCCCCAAATTGAAACAGCCACTCTTATGTCGTCCACCAGCTTTTTCTTCTCCTGCGACAAAGGAAAGTCAGGATCTGGACTCTCACAATCTCCACATTGATGTGGCACTGGTGAACAGTCTGAAATCAATTGGTCATGTTTGTGAGACAGAATGACAACACAACCTCTAGCCTCCCTCTGAGGTGACGAATTTGAACATGTTGGGGACTGTAGCCCATAATCTCTCCAAAGTGCCACCAAGTCTGATTTGCACAAAAAGCACCCCCTCCCATTGCTGCAGTGCTGCTGTGTTCATCATTTCAAAATCAGCCTTAAGTGATCGTTGAGGATGCTGTTCCTGCACGTACCTGATGCATCTTACAACGTGCATCTTCCTAATCCCACTCTTCCTTAAGGACAAGGTATCTCTATTGCAGATGGAAGCCACACTCTTTCAATCTGCCAATGCACCTTTGAAGGGTTTATTACACACCCTTAGCAAAATTAATATTAAACTTTTGGTTCAGGTCAAATTACTACTGGAAGCAGACAGACACATCATGGTGACAGAGTGTGGTAGATTCAAATCCTTGTGGTACTTTAAGCATTTGCCTCTTCATAGTCATAACTGTCTCAGGAATAACTAATGTACCACAACATAATCTCCCCACATTACATACCAACAGGGAACTGAAGGCATCTTTGTGATCTATGTAAAGTTCACAACCAAGGTAACAAGTGGTTTATACCTCAGTCAATTACTTTTAGCAATTGGTGAAACACAGTCATATCTGTCCAGAAAGATTTGAGGATATTAAGTGGTTTCATTTTTTTATAAACCTCCCAGTTTAAACTTAGCTCAGGTTGTAAAACTGTGACAGTGTGTGTGTCCAGTTAGCCATTTGGCCCTCGAACCATAATAAATAATTCCCAAAATGATAATTGGTACCATCATCAATTAAACAATTAATCCATTCATTCCGGTCGAAGCCTGAGAAACCTGGTGGAAGTACCACAATTTTAACAAAAAATGTGCAATATTTGGTATACAAAGTGCACCTCAATAGAGTGCACCCATTAGCCTGACCTTTAATAAGGTGTTGACTGGAGTATTAACATGTTTTAGCAGAGACAGCAGTTGGAACTTTCATTATGGGTCCCATGTGAGTGCCTGAGGAATTTGAATAGTGAAGAAATGGAACAAAAATAAAATCAGCTAGATTACACAGTGTCTTTCGAATGCATGACCATCTCCAGTGAAAACAGCAGCTGGTACAATGTTTTCTGAGTGAATGGCCTTACTGTCCCTTAAAGTCACAAATGACCAACCGCTGACTGGGGAGGTCAGAGGGATTTTTAACAGTGTCTGCAGAACAATACCACTCCCAGAATTAGTAGGGACTGGACGGAGTAAATGGCCTCCTTCCACACTATAATAAGGAAATAAAAGTCACAAGGAAATCCTAAAAGATTTCTGAACGTCCCAAGATTTTACCTCTTTGACAATTGAAAATTTAAGATTTGATTTTGCGGCATTCCATGGGCAAGAACCATCCTTTTTTCTTCAAATAAATTATCACTAATAGGTCTGAAAATCTAGAAGAATCACAATCTCACTTTGAACTGGATGTCTTCTTAAAATGTGTGCAGTAACAACTCCAACATACCACCTCAGTGAGGCAATTCTGGGGCGGTTTCAGCTTCTGAAGCAGCTTACCATCGAGAGACCACTACTGTTGCCTCTGGCCTTTTCCCAAAAACAGGATCGGGCTGGACTGTGATGCAGTCTACAGTCAAATAACCAACAGAGGCGCAAGTGAGACCTAACCAGTTGGGTGAGCTCATGAATGATGATGGTCAACATTAAGCACAAATTTCAGCTTGACTTCTCAATTTTGGGAAATGGGAGGTAGTGGTGGGGCACAATAAGAGCAAACCAAAAACTAAATTTATGCTCTAATACTGATTACACTTTGTTATCTGTGTAACAAAGTTTGTGATTGTACTTCATCATCCCTATGCCCATTAGCATGAGTCACAGTAAGTGCAGGATCCACCAACTGTGTGCCCCATATGATCAAACTTATTTTTTTATTCATTCATGGGACTGGGGCGGGGGGCTCGCAGGCCGGGCCAGCATTTATTGCCCGTCCCTAGTTGCCCTTGAGAAGGTGGTGGTGAGCTGCCACCTTGAATCTCTTGACACTCACCACTTTAGCTTGGGCATGATCCAAGAACGGCCTAGCCCGAGGGTAATGGTTTCAGATGGTTCCTGGTTCAAATGCTGGCTCTGCTAACATAGCATCTACCGTGAAATGGCAGGTTCTGGTTGGCAGCTTGTTCTAAGCAGGTGATACCAGGCCCAATTGTGCTGAAATCTTAAAGCACACAAGGAGGCCACTCAACTGTCATACTTGTGCCTGCTCATTTGGAAGAGGTATCCCATTTTCTCCCATTCCCGCATTCTCTTTCCTAAAGCCCTGCAAGTTCTCATAATTCATGCCACTTAGGTGACCTCAATAATGAGGAATTGTCACATGTTTAGTATTGATTGAAGAAAGAAAGAAAAATTAACTAGAAATTCTTCCTAGCGAGACAAAGGTAAGGTAATAGCAACTAATGTGCCACATCCAGGTTATGCCTCCAAACCATCTCTTGTTGTAAATTGCCCACAATATGGATCTACTCAACACAGCAATAGAGACGACGTTTATGCCAATTAAAATCTCCGTTTCTGTGAATCTTGTCCATTGTAGAACCAAAAACCGGAAGAATTAGATAGAGAGCCTTTTCATCTGTCTAACAGCTCCAGGTTGAAAGCTGAAGTATTTGTGAATGTTCACCCATTAGTGAACAGGAAATTGTGTCCAGTCACAGAAAGGGAAAGCAAATGCAGGCTGAAATGCCAAAATTAAATCTTACATTTCATCGTATTTTTAGGTTCTTAATTTTAGAGTAATATTCACGGTATTTGCATCAAACTAAAAGACAAAATCAGTAGAATAGCAGTGGCCATCTTGTTTCAATACTTTGTCAAATTCAGTCTGTCATACAAAACTTTATTCCTCCTTATTTAAAAAAAACAGATGACATCAGAAGCTGGCCTTGTATTAAAGGACACAGCTATAGAATTCATCTTGGATACTACTGAATGAGACTTTCGCATTTGTATTGGGCATGCTCAAAAAAAGACTTCAATGCATCATGAATATTATCCTTAGAGACAGTCCCTTTGCTCCAACTGAATTGTGAAGTGTCAGCATATTTGTGTTTATACAAAGAGCTACACTTGAAGTTAAGCCATACTTTGAAGAGGTTTTGGCATGTGTCAGGAGTGCTAAGTAAAAATGGATACCAGTCAGATAGAAAGTGGAAGATAAAGACATGACTGAAACAGGAGAAGTTTTCCTTTTCACCAAAACCGTTAGCTCACAGGTAATCTCTCCAATTCAGTCCACATTTTTGAAATCGAATTCCCCCATTCTGGACTTCCCCTCAGCATCTTCACCATGTTGATGTCAAGCAGGATTTAACGCTGTGGCTTTTGCTGTTAGCTCTGTTCCTATTCATGACTTCAGGTGTGTAAGTCATCACATTCTCCCTCAGCATTCCCTATAACCAACACGCTTTGGAAACCAAAGCTTGGTGTCGTTTTAAGCCTGCTACCTGGTTCGGCCTACCTTCACCTTCCTGTACTTTTCCATCTTGCTGGTGTCCTGAATTTTGCTCAGCCTTCTCAAATGAGACAACAATGTCTAGATTCAGCACTCTTGGTGGGTAGTTCAGCTCAAAAGGGTGTCCCAAGTGGAAGATCTTAGAGTCTTAACCTCTTCTAATGTGGCTCCCCCATCATGGACCAGATTTATCCTGTAGTGGTGCCGCAGTTGGTGCAATATTTGACTGGAATGAATCTCTGGAGCTGCGAATAAGGATGTTTGGGAATGTGGCGCATGACTTAGCCATAATTTGTACAAGTGTGCTATTCACTCTGCACGCATCCCAGTGATTGGCCAAGCCATGAAACGTAGAACTCGCTCACTTCTGTAGAACAAAACTTGCACAATTGTTCTTTCCTATGAACAGCGTCTAAAAATGTCATATAAAATGTATCATGATATATTGAAAAGCTATTTTAAGATGAGATTATGATAATGTTGAATAGCATTACAGCCTTAATTCACACTGGCCTTGAAATTATATCCATGTGTTCCTCTGGCATTTCTCTTTCTGCTGTTTTAGGTAGGGCAATATTCCATTTACTTTAAGGAGATTAACCCCTCCACTATAATGATAGAAAGGGAAATGTCTCTCAGTGTAATTTCGGAGCCATCATAAACTGGTACAGCAATGACATTCAGATTAAGCAGCTCTGGTGTCTGTTAATTGCATAGATGCACATAGCCAGAGACTGGCTTTATGTAAAAGATTTTCTTTCAAAGCAGCAATTTTAATAGTTTAAAATAAAAGACCGTAAATGTCATCATATGATGTGTAACAAAGTAGTTACAGTAACATTATTTATTTGGTAAAATGCATTCTATGTATTTTAAATGGCTTGCAATATCATACTGTACTGGTCTATTCCACATGTGTCTGCAAGAACTTCAGAGCAAGCAGCTTACACTTGGTTTCCAGTGCATGTTTACCAGGTTTGCTCCTTCGGTGGAATCTCTGCATGTTTTCCTCCTGACTTTAAACTGTCCACTGCACAATTAAAAAAAATATAATCATAAAATATTTGGTAATCATTTACTTGTCTTTTTAGAATATGAATGAGGGTAATACAGTTGGCACTTGCACCTTATTTAAGGAAAGGTATCATTTCATTGGAGGCAGTTCAGAGAAGGTTCATAAGGATGATTCCTGGTGAAGATGGATTGTCATATGAGCAAAGGCTAAACAGGTTGGGACTCTACTCACTGGAGTTTAGAAGAATGAGAGGTGATCTCATTGAAACATATAAGGACTTGACAGGGTCAATGCTGAGAGAGGATGTTTCCCCTCATGGAAGAATCTAGGACCAGACGGCATAAGAATAAAAGGGGCAGCAATTTAGGGAGGATCTTCTTCTCCCAGAGGATTGTGAGTGTTCAGGACCCCTTGCCACAGAGTTCTTGTGTATGTTTAAGGCTGAGAAAGAGAGATTCTTGATCAGTCGGGGAACCAAGTGTATTGGGGAAACGGCAGGAAAGTGGACATGAGGAATGTTGGGTCAGCCACGATCCTATTGAATGGCAGAGCAGGCTCGAGGTGCAGAAAGGCCTACTCCTGTTTCTATTTTGTTGGTCTGATAGGAGTTCCACAGTGTACTGCGCCAAAGGGTGACAGGATGCAACTCAAATCCAAAAGTTCTCCACACCTCTGTTCAGAATCCTGTTTGTTATTTACTCACAATCACAAGCTCCATGCGGTGAGGGAAACAACCTGAGAACTACTTCTCTGAGGCCACACACTTCATCTCACCCTCCTTTTTATTCATTTGTGGGATCCAATCATCACCTGATCCAATTGTCAGCATTTATTAGCCATCGCACTCCCTAACTGTCCCTACGAACGGGCCAGGGAGCCCCCTTATTGGAATTGCGGCAGTTTATGTGTTGAACGTACCACCAGCGTGCTGACTTTCCTGGACAACTGAGTGGCTTGCTGAGCCAGTTAAGAGTCAATCACATAGCCATGGGACTGGAGTCACGTGTAGGTCAGCCTGGGTCAAGACAGCAGATTTCTCCTCTGAAGCATGTCAACAAACCAGTTGGGTTTTTTACACAATCTAATAGTTTGCTTACCAAAATGGAGGGTTGGAGTTATAAGGAGAGGCTTGATAGGCTGGGACTTTTTTCACTGGAGTGTAGGAGGTTGAGAGGTTACCTTATAGAGGTTTATAAAATCATGAGGGGCGGAGAAAAGGTAAATGGCAGGTGTCTTTTGGCTAGGGCGGGGGATTTCAAGACTAGGGGGCATATTTTTAAGGTGAGAGGAAAAAAATTTAAAGATGACATGAGGGGCAACAGTTTTACACAGATTGGTTCATGTGTGGTAGTGGTGGATTCGTGTACAGTTACAACATTTAGAAGACATTTGGATAAGTACATGAATAAGAAATATTTGGATGGATATGGGCCAAATGCAGGCACGTGAGTCTGGTTTAGTTTGGGATTATGTTCGGCATGGATTGGTTGGACCGAAGGGTCTGTTTCCGTGCTCTATGACTTTTTGACTATAAAGTGATGAGACTAGCAAACCCCTCTGTGATTTATTAAGTAACTGAATTGGAATGCCCCCAGCTACCATTGTGAGATTTGAACCCACATCTGGGTTGTTGTCTAGACTGTTAAACCACTATGACACAATCCCCCTGTGATTTGGTGCACTTGGAGCTAAGCACTCCTGCCAGTTTTCTGTTTTGCAGTTGGGAAAAGAACAGGACATGTGTGTGGGGTTTAAATGTTTGGAAAAGGGGGAAGGGGGTCAGAAATGAAGAGGCCAAAAGTAAAAGAAGTTCACACAAAGATCAGAGCGCTCCTGAGGGCATTCGGCTTGCCGATTGTCTGATTCAGAAGCTACCTTCCAAAGAGATCTCCTAGAGAAGAGAGTGATGTGTTCAGCAAGAGACTGCACCAATCAGCATCTTGTGAATTCAATCTGAGATGATTTGTCATTCCTTCCAAGAGCAAGGAGACAGAAAGAACTTTTTGTGTTCAAAAGCTTCCAGATTTATCGAGTGTCTCTTTGTCTCCAGCATTGGAGAGAAAGGAAGAGGTGAAAGACAGTAGGATCATTTGGATGGACTGCATAGGAAATGTGCTGTGCCAACACCTTGAGCTCAAAGCAACCAAGCTTCCTTCTGGACTTAATATAGCGAAAATAATCAATGCTTCATCAATGATCTTCCCTCCATCATAAAGTCAAAAGAGCAAATGATCTTACTGATCATTCCCAGCACCATTCCCAATTCCTCAGCAGTCCAAAAGCAGCAAGATCTGAACGATATCCAGGCCTGGACTGATAAGTGGCAAGTAATTTTCACATTATTTAAGTGCTGGGCAATGGCCATCCCCGACAAGTGAGAATTTAACCATCTCCCATTAATGGTATTAAAAACAGAGGGATTTGGGAGTCCTTGTCTATGAATCACAAAGATGTAGCATCAGCAAGTAATAGGGTAGGCCTAAAAGGAATGTTGGCCTTTATTTCGAAAGGAATGGAGTATAACAGTAGGAAGTTCTGAGGAACGTTCACCGGACCTGAAACGTTAACTCTGATTTTTCTTCACAGATGCTGCCAGACCTGCTGAACTTTTCTAGCAACTCAGTTTTTATAACAGCAGGGAAGTTTTGCTAAAACTATACAAGGCACTAGTCAGATCACAGCTGTAATACTGTGAACAGTTTGGCGCCCCTTGTATAAGGAAAGATATACTGCATCGGAAGAACTCCAGAGAAGGTTCACTCATCTGGTACCAGGTATGGAGGGACTGTCTTCTGAGGAGACGTTGAGTAAGTTGGGGCTGTACTCATTGGAATTTAGAAGAATTTACTGAAACATGCAAGATTCTTATAGGACTTGACACGATAAATGCAGAAATGTTGTTTCCCCTTGTGGGAGAGTCTCAGACCAGAGGGCATAACCTCAGAATAAAGGGTCACATATTTAAGGCAGAGAGGAGGAATTTCTTCTCTCAGGCAGTAGTAAATCTGTGGATTCTTTACTGCAGAAGGCTGTCGAGGTTGGGTTGTTGAGCATTTTTAAGGCTGAGATAGAATTTCAGTCAATAAGGAATTCAGCCGCTATGAGGAAAAGGCAGTAGAGTGGAGTTCAGAATTATCAGCCATGATCTGATTGAATAGTGAAACAGCCTTGATGGGCTGAATGGCCGACTTCTGCTCCTACATCTTATGGTTACCATCACTGACTCCCCCAGTATCCATATCCTAGAAGTTATCGTTAACCAGAAACTGAACTGGACTGGCCATATAAATACAGTGGCTACAAGAGCAGGTCAAAACAGGGTTTCCGCACTGAGCAACTCACCTCCTGTTTCCCCAATTCCTGTCTACTATGTACAAGAACAAGGTAGGAGTATGATGGGATACTCTCCACTTGCCTGGATGGGTGCAGCTCCAATGCAGTCCACTTGACCTGCACCTTACCCACTACTTTCATCATTCACTCCCATCACAACCAATGCAAAGTTGCACCAGTCTGTAGCGCTGCAAGATGCACTGCAGCAACTGACCAAAGCTCCTCTAATGCACATTCTATGACCTAGGAGGGCAGGGCAACAGATGCACGGGAACACCACCCACCTGCAAGTTCCTCTCCCAGCCATACACTATCCTATCAGCACTGTACATCTCCCAACACCCCAAAAATTGCAGTTGTTCAAAAAGTTAGCTCACCTCTACCCTAGAAAGGGCAGTTAGGGATGGAAAATAAAGGCTGGCCCAGCCAGCAATGTTCACATCCCTTGAATGAATAAAACAAAATGTACAGGAGTCAATTTTGTTACATATGGAATCATGATAGTAGATATCAGATACAGTTGGATGAAATCTTGACACCATTCCCAATTTGACACCATTCCCCTACAACATCTGTCTTGTTTCAATCATTCAGTTGCCCAGAAAGGTCCAAGACGTAGTTCAGAGACATGATAATGTGAGGAAGAAAAAGGTAGCACCTATTTTTAACCTGCACAGTGCACAATTTTAAACAATTTGGGAACACTGCCCCCAAGAATAACCATAAGGCTTCCAGTGTTCCCAATTCCTTAAATGCAACAAATTACTCATTCCTAGTTGGGAACTATTGTCAAATTTGCAATGACTACTTCAGAAGTTTTAAACGTTTAGTGTTCAGACATCAAGGGCTGGCAGGTTTAGCAGTTAGTCCTGCCAAAATACAGATAGAGTCTGTATATTGTAGAGTCTATTCCTGATGATTTTGAGTGCTGGGACATCTTGAGTTATTACGGTGGGACAGAAATTGAATCTTCCTGGAAAGAGAGCCATTGTGCTAAAGTTTTTACCTGACACACATCAGAACCAGCTCATGAATGCCACATTTCAAATGGTCACACCAATTTATACTGCTGGAGAATAAGGTGCTAATTTGTTGGCAAGTCAACTCTGATTGGCTAAGGCATTACCACAGAGAAAGTAATGGGGAACCACAAAGATCTTCAAGCTCCCAATTATTTCAAAAGTTGCAAGGTATGAACATACTTATATTTATTTGCGGATAAATTATTGTCATTTGACTTAAGCAACATCAATAACCCAGTTAGGAAATGAGCACAGCAAAAATTATTTATCAGAGCATTGGCGTTAAGAACATTGAATTAAGAGTATACTTTAAAATCTCATGAGTTACAACATGGAGATGGCCTGCTGTGATATCAGGGCCAATATCTTGTTAAATATTTCACCAATTGTTATACTTTACCGTCACTCTCACATTTTACAAAGTTTCGTAAACTTTTGACCGATGCTCAGTAGCAGCAGTGTGTACCATATACAATAAAAATAGAGATTGCTGGAAAAGCTCAGCAGGTCTGGCAACATCTGTGGAGAGAAACCCGTTAATCTCCACAGATGTTGCCAGACCTGCTCT